ACGTTCTTAAAGGTATAGTGGAGGATGTTCTTTTTCCAGGTGGATCATTAAAATAAGAGGTCCTCCTAATTGTCAATCATTCGGGTGTTATGCTTACGTAAGGCCGTCATACGTGCTCGTCCCAAATTTCACTTACTGGTGGTGAGTCTGACACAGTGAAAAAATTGTAGATCTTCTTTCAGAAAGTAAGCTTATAAGAGCGATGAAAACAGCAACTTTTAAACGGAGCGTGCACAATGACAAATTGGCTCATGCAATGCTCTCGAATGCGTTTTATAGGCGTTCCTTCTCGGGAGCGGGAACAAGGTTGTGCATGTGCATTTTTTAAATTAAAAGTGGAGAGGACGGGTCTTTTCAAAAATTTGCGAAAATCCTCCACTATACCTTTCATTTTCATTGCAACATTACTCCTTTGCAGTCGACAGCTTGTTGTTATTTTAGCAGGAAAGCACTGCTGCATTATGTAAATTCTGGCGCTGAGAGTCACACGTCGTAAAGTCCCTCCTGCTGTGCTGTGATTGGTCTGGCAAGATCTGGCTTGAGTCAATGGCAGTTTACCAGACTGAATTACACTCTGTCTGGCTGGCCAGGGTAGTTGAATCATTTCACATTTTAAAAGAAACAGTCAAATGATTAGAACTAATGCATTCTCACAGTGCTTGGTCTATTTTTCAGACAACTGACAAAGTCTTCAGTCTCTTCATGTGGAAAGATGCCTGTTTGACTTACAGCTCAAACTGCAGTACAGGAAGGTTTCACAGTATTTTGACTCAGGGCCTGAATACAAATGCATGCCACATTTTACTTCTTGAAATGGAAAATTATCTATAGTTATCTTTTAATCTTATAATTATGCATTACTTTGTGTGCTGCTATGGCAGATTCAATGAAATGTAAATATTGTGTGAAGAAAGTGGAAAAGTCAAATATTTGAAATAGCTTACCTTTGAAAGGGAGTCTATATTGTTTAAAAACAACTCGAGCTAAAATGTTGATGCATGTATTTTTCTACCCAAACTGTTGAAAACTGCAGTTTTCCAAAGGACTTTGCAACTCAACAAATGATTTTAGACAAAACTATCCCCAGCGTCCATGTTTTTTTTTTTCCCTCGTTGTTTCATCCATAAGAGTTTTTTGACCTGAATAAAAACAAAACTGCCAAACCAGGGAAATTCCAGGATGGAGTCAGGGTGAAGTCTCAGCTGTAAAACACAGAAGCTGACTCAGCTATTTCAAGAAAAAGCTTGAGCTTTACCGTGCCATCCTTTAACAATTAAAGCTAAATTCCAAGGAGTTATTTTGTGCTTTTTATTTTAATAAAAGCATAACAGAACAGAAGCGCTTGTACTTTCTGCGGAGGATGAGGAGAGCCCGCCTGCCCCCGCCCATCCTCACAACCTTCTACAGAAGCACCATAGAGAGCGTTCTGACCAGCTGTCTCTCTCTGTGGTGTGGAGGCTGCAGAGCTTCTGACTGGAAGAATGTGAGGAGGGTGGTGAGGACAGCGGAAGGAATCATTGGGGCTCCTCTTCCCTCCATTAAGGACATTTCATCACAGCGCTGTGTGTCCCGAGCCCGTAATATCATCAAAGACCCCTCACACCCCCACCATGGACTGTTCTCCCTGCTGCCCTCTGGAAAGAGGTTCCGCAGCATCCGCTGCAGATCCACCAGGTTGTGCAACAGCTTCTTCCCCACTGCCATCAGACTGTTGAACCTTTGATCCACAATCCGAACTCTGCACCTATTGCACATTATCGGGCATCAAATGCTGCTGAACTTTTAACTTTTAGCCCTTTAAATTGTTCATCTCATTGTATTTTTCAATAACGCATTTTTTGCACAAATGCCATTTTGCACTGAACCACTGCAACTTGCACACTGTCTCTTATCCTCTGCACTGTTCACACTTTGACCACTGCTGCACTTTTTGTATTTTTCTATAACTCGTGCCATTGTGAAATATCAATGCAACGTTCATAAGCTGTATGTAACGCAATTTCGTTCTGTATGCACCCTGTGCATACAAAATGACAAATAAAGAAGTCTAAGTCTAAAGTCTAAGTCTAAGTCTAAAGGTAAAAACACAGACTACATCTTTATATGAAGAAACAAGGAAAAGGTAGAATTGTCTCAGCTACAAAACGTCCCCTGCCAGAGACAGGAACAACAACTTTTAACCAGCAACATTCCTGCTCCAAAACCTTATTTATGTCATAAGTGGTTAAAGATGTAGCCTACACCCACTGTTCATTCCTTCAGCACTGTTTGACTAAGGGGCCCCTCTGGCCTTTGGCATTGTTTATCATACATAAAAAGTATTCACCTTAGGGGCCTTATGAGTCACTTGTTTTGGTCAGGGATAAATTGCATAAAACATACTTTTTTGTCAAAGGAAAACGTCATTTTCAAAAACCAATATAAGTGCAATAAGCACTAAACACAGACTGGTTTTAAGTTTATTTCTTCTTTCTGAAGATTTGTAGCATTGACTGAACAGAATACAGATGAAAAAAAAAGACTGAGCCTGCGGGTTGCATTTGCTGAGTGGGACAAGCTCAGCAACAGGATGTTTCTGGTCTTTACCTCAACATTTCACTACACCTGAAAAAGCAAGACTCAAGCTAAATCCTGCAAAAAAAAACATGTCTCACAAAAATTGCCCCAAGTAAAAAAAAAAAAAGAAAAAAAAAAACATATTTTCTGGTTACCAAATAGCTTTTAACTTTACAAAGAGATAACTTTCTTTTAAAACGGTCAGAAACTAACATAACATTGCATTTTTTAATGTGTTACAGCTATTGTACATATCTATTACCCAGCAGCATCAATTATTGATTAGGGGTGAGTATCGGCATGGTTGTTGCGATGCGGTATGTATTACGATACTTGGATCACGATACGATATTGACAGAATATTGCAATGTTACTATATATTGCAATATTTTTTTCCTTGATCAAAATTAAATGTATACATAAAAAACAAAGTGCTAATGTTTATCAGTTATTTTGGTATCCATGTTGTTTGGGGTGTGAGTCAGTCCACGTCTTCCACTGTGACTGCCTCAACTACAGATATGGTGCGGCGCCACACAGGAAAAGGACTCCACAGCGTCATCTGTCAGAGCAGTGGTGCAGAGGTATCCCATTTTCTCTTATAGTTTTAGGCAAAAATGTTTTGGTTTAAAAATCGATACTAGAAACTGAAAGATTGATATTATATCGGGCAGCCATAAAATGATGATATATCACCAAAACAATTTTTTCCCCACACCCCTATTATTGATGGTTGGTTATTTCTGCTACAGCGGAGCAAAACAAAAAACTAAGAAAGAAAGAAAGACATTTGATCCTGTTATATCCTGTGAGGCAATTAGTCTTGTTTTGAACCAAGATTAATCATTAATTAACCAAAGAATTATACATTTTTTATTAAACAGTACAGCTTCATTTTGACTAGACATGCACAGACCAAGTTTTTTTTCCAATCCATTGCAATAGCGATTCCTGGGCTGAGTTTATCGACCGATATCCAAATCCAATTCAACTGTTGTATGAATGAACCACATATCTTGCCATGTGATTGAAGGCTTTTGACGTGATATAATCATTGTTAAAAAAGGTAATAAATAAAAGAGATATACATTTACTTAATATTATTTATTAACAATGATATCCAGGTATTAGATCGGTGCATAACTAATTTTGACTTGATGAGATTTTGCAGTAAGGATATGGTTTATGTTGTTTAAAACATTATGTTGTTTATAACATTAAATTACAATTGCAAATTTATAATTGCAGAACAAATTACATGTTTTATCCTTTGGATTTTTTCTGAAGGCTAATGATTTTTCTTTTTTTCTATTAACCAAATAGTCTATTTGACATTATTTTCATATACCTATATTGCATCCATACCAATAACTTAGCGAAAAAATGTAGGCTCTGTGGTAGTTTGTGTTTGCAACATCATGCATATTGCACAGTTTTCTGACTCCTGTCTTTGAACATTGCATTTTATCTAATTACTGTATGGCTCATCACCTATTTGGAATTGCAGTTTTTCTCTTCAGCTTTACAGCTTAAAACAGTTTGCTTTTTTCCCCCCACACTACTTAATCTAGTGTTTATGTGTTTTACCACTGACACACCCAAATATCCTTAGTGTGGGACGATACAGGTAATTTAATATTCTATACAAGAGCTGAAACTGGCAAAATCGTGTGTTTAATGGAATTACTGAAAATGAGGGTCATTTATCAATTACCATTTGAGGACTTTTAAGGTATTATCTGAAAAGTTTTTGGAAATGTAGAAATTTTGTCATCTAAATATGAACTAAATAATGGAAAAATGTTTGTCAATACTGAACACCTCCTACTGTATATACGGTCTTCTTCTTATTGATTCACATTAATGGCTGTATAATATCAGAAAAATGTCTGACTGCAACGCTTTTGCTAGATACCATCATGAAAACACCTCATAGTTTTAGAAATATTTTCTGACCCATTTCTTACTTATTAAAATAGCATAACAATTGGCTTCAGCTGTTTTAACCCTTTTTATGATTACTAAAAATAAATATGAAGTATCGGCCTCAAGCTAAGGCAAACTATATCAAACAGGCAAAAAGTATAAGACATATTCAAATTTCCATCCATCCATCCATCCATCCATCCATCCATCCATCCATCCATCCATCCATCCATCCATCTTTTTACGCTTAGATGCAAGTACCATGAAGTATAATACCGTAACACATTTCATATCTACACAGATCTCTGTGATTGAAATATAGCAACAATTGACATTATGACGACTGCAATATGTTATATTATTCAAATCTAGTTCACAGAGGATAATTTTCGATCTAGTTTATAATAAAGATAATAAAACATGGATGGAAAATAGTTCCTCCCTCTTTTGTTTTGACAATTCTTTATTGTAATTTCAGTTGAAAAGAGATTGGAATCTGTACAAGTCATCAAACTCACCCTGCAGTACTCGTTGATGGGCCTTAGTCTCTTCATGGCCACATCTCTGATATGGCTTCTCCTGAACAAAATCTTTCCTAAAGAAAAACATGAAAAAAAGCATGTCAAGCTTAATCTCTTTCAGCTATTAATGCAAACGGTGTACGTTTATGGACCACATTAATTTCACTGCTAAATATCTGCATTTAATTAGATAATACTTATGAAAGAACAGTTTGTTAAACTTTTAAGCCACTAAAGGATACAAAGAAAGAGCAAAAATGGATCAAAAACAAAACAAGACAGACAAATCAGTTTGAAGAAGCAATCCAGACAGTTCATCAATGAATCTGACGGCACAATAAGATGCAGAACACAATCATGTGAATAGCTGACCTTTCTGAGAGATCAATCAATTATTTGAAGAGGACAGCTTATGTACTGTATGCATGAAAGTTTAAGGTTTTCTTTCCAAGTTTTGCAAAAACACATTGGGTCACCATAAGGAAATTCAAATATCGCTACAAATTACTAAAAAAAAAACCCTGACATGAAAATACTGCCCAACTGAGGGAGTTTCAATCTGCTTCTCCATATTTTTTCCCCTTCAGTGTGAAGAAAATTTGCCAGTAAAGTGGCACAGTCAGTTTTAAGCAGGGCACAAGAAAAGTAAAGGTCAAGAAAGCTCCATGACAATACAGTTTAATTGGGACATGGATTTTAGAATATTTCAAATTCATATTCAAGTGTTTAAAGAAAAAAAAAGTACAGAGGGAGTTACCAACTTCAGCTGCTTAAATCTGACGCTTAAGTGACTAAAGTTCTAGATTTTCATGTCTTTTTTCTTGTATGATTTTTTTTTTTTTCTAAAAACAGAGAAAAAAAGAGATGCTTGTCCTTTGAATTCTAAAGACAATAAAACAGACTGAATATAGGGTTGAAACTAGTTATTCAAAACCTATTTAGTTATTATGTGTGCCTACACAGAAAAAAATTTAAAAAAATAAGAGGATCTTCAATAAATAAGGTTCTAGCTCCTGGCATGATGTACAGAAATAAAAAACAATGTGGTGTCATCTCCTGGCAGTTGACACCAGCAGAATCCAATTTTTGTCTTCAGCTCCCACTTTATGCATTCCGCATTGATTAATACTGTATGTTGCTGTTTTGTATTTGTAGTGCTATATCAGTTGGTTGTGCTTTTCTTTTAACATCACTTTTTGCAAGTGTTGAAGCAGACTGATGAAGGTTTGTCAATTGATCTCATCTGTCTCCTCTTTCTTTCACTTTTTCTCCCTTTTTATTTCTCTCCTCCTCTACTTTTTCAATGTAGTGTCCACATAACATGAATTATTTCCTATGTAAATCATAACAAAACTGTTTAGGTACATAAATCAAACAGAGCACTATAGTGAAAAGTGATCATTCTCCACTTGTGAGAGTAAAATTTGTTGGGCTCGTTTTTCTATAAAGTGCCAAAAAGAGCAACAAATTTCCAGACAGGACACTGAAAAAAAACCAAAAAAACTACTTAAACTACTTACTTTAATAAAGCCTGAACATCCTGCAATGTCTCACCGTAAAGCAACAACTCAGCGTGGTCGAAGACCAACCCATATTAATTCAGTAAATTGATCTACAGGAGCTCTAAATTCTGGTGAATCCTCCCCAGATCCTCCTATCAGAACATCAAGGAAAAAGAAAGTTTCTGTTTCTAACAAATGCAAACAGGGACACTGCATCAAGGTAAGAACCAATCAATCTATCATGCTTTTTATGTTGTTTATAATTGGACTGTAGAAATAGCATTTGAGAGGCATTGCTATAAAAAGTATCAGTATTGATAAGGAAGTTGGCTCACGCATCCATCTACTCTGTAGCCACATCTTATTGCCTCGCCAGCTTGAGCTCCTTCTTAAGTGAACAAAAACATTTACAATGTATTTCGACCACTATTCGAGTTGTATTCCTCTTGGAATCTTTTTTTGTTGTTGCCCATTTGACTTTTTGAACATGTATATCTCCCTGATTTATCTTCATACTTGCTCCAAATTTTGAGGGTCTACCCATAGACTGTGAACAACAAGCTTGGATGTTCATTTGGTGACATCACTTTATTGAGATTAGGAAGTGACCATGGCCTCCCTCACAAAAGTAAGATTTTTGCTAGATTTTGTCTCTTATCTGGAGTTTACCACTTCCTGACTAAAGCTGAGGTTGTCCCCTACTCGTCTAGTGGTGAAGTGTGGAAGTTGTCGGCTAGCTTGGAAGATACACAGTAGCGACAGTGCGTGGGACCCATGCTTAAAATAGGCCTCGCGGCGAAAAGCTGTGAGGGCCGTCCAACGCCGCATGCGATTTTTTATGTTTTTGCATTTTTCAACACTGGATATTAGAATCTTCTTAATTATGTTAAGATACTTCATTGTTTACCCCTGCCAAATATGCTAAGCATTGTACTACCTTTGTTATTGTAAATTTACACATTTATTTTTATTTACTAACAAGTCAATTTTGAGCAAAGCATAAAATACAAAAAATAACAAATAAAACACTTAGGGCCGGATTTATCAAGATCCAATTTTGCGTGCAGTAATTTGCGCTCGCAAACTGGAATTTTGCGCGAGGGGCTGAACCATGGTTTGCGGGTGATTTAACAAGAGCGATTGCGTAACTGGTGGCAGGTGCAAAACTGTTGGAGACGCCCTATTTAAATGATGGTTTTGCGCGTTTGGTGGTTTGCGGCATGGCAAGTTTGGACAGCAGAAAGCGCAAAAGGAAATTCGACCCCATGGAAATGGAGGTGTTGGTGGATGAAGCCAACAAACATTTAAGTGAGCTACAGCAAAAAAGTGTGACTGTCACACAGAGGAACGCTATATGTGAACAAATCTGTAATAAAGTAAACGCTGTTGGTGAAACCTTGCGAACAGTGGATGAAGTAAAAAGAAGATGCCAGGATATTAGAAGGCGAACCAAAGAAAAACTGGCATATAACAAAACATTTGCGAACAAAACAGGAGGGGGCACAGTAGATGAGATGCCTCTGACCAGCATTGAGGAACAAGTACAGCTGACGCTCTGTGAGGAGCAAATCACTGGAATTGCAGCTCCAAAATGTCAATGCTGGATATACGATATGTTTTGATCGTTTCCTCGTTCATTCCAAAAATATTCACACGGAGTGAAAAAATGCGTTCTCTGCGTCTCCTTGCTTCATTTCAATGTCTCCTTCTTGCGGCAATAACCGCTGCCATGTGTGCATAATTACGCATACAGACCATTTGCACCTTCTTTTGATACGTGTTAAATATAGAGTCAGATACCGTTAGCAAAATTGCTTTCAGGTTTAATAAATCACTTTGCGAGTGCTAAATTAATATATTTACATGTTCTCCTACCACAAGACGCACTTTTGCGTGTAAACGCCCCATATTGCATATTCATTGCAGAAAAAGTACTAAATGGATAAGAGGCGCTATTTAGCACGTTTTAAAGACCAAATCCTTTTAGCACGCTGTTGATAGATCAGTTTGTACATTTTTTAGCGTGCGCAGTGAAATAGCTCACGTTTTTATACACGCAAACCTTTGATAGATCCGGCCCTTAATGTCTTTGAGAAAAATCTTAAATGCAACAAGAGTGTGTTACTGGTGTTCAAATCTAGAATATGCATTATAACATGACTATGCACTTTTAAGGCAGAGACAAGCTCTAAGATCTTACATATTTAGTCATCTACAGCACACACAGGCCATGCAATCCATCCCACTATTAACTACTCAAACAGCAGTCCATTAGTCTTAACAGACACAGTCACAATACCACAGGAAATGCCATAACAGAGAGAGCTTGGCTGAGTAATGTATTAACTGTTTGCCATCTCTGTACCATCCTGGTGAAAAAATTTATAATTTTCTATTTTGCATATTTTCATTTCAGAATAGTAAGGAGATTACTTTTCAAACTGCTCTTCATACATTTTGATAAGAATGATACATTTAGTTATTTTCAATACTGTCCTAATACTGGTTTCAGGAGGCTTTCTGTCCAAGTAGATTAAAATACGAATTTGTAAGACGCACTTTCTGCAATGTTATGCAAATCAGGGCTATTTGTATTTATATCAAAAGATGCAATTCTCTAACCAAAGACCAGTTCAAATATACTGCCTTTTGTCCTTTAGCATGTAGTAGAAAACACTCAGACTTTGAAAGAAGATTTAAATAATATTTGATTAAATACATAAAAGATAAGCTTATGCAAATACTTTGGCTAACTGCTCATATGGGGGGAAAAAAGTAGATGGTCATTTTTAAAGAAATTAGCTTTGCTTTTAAAAAAAAGTTCTTTACTTTCACTTTTTTTATTAGAAAAAAATAAAATTATTATGATAAACTATATATGGGAAAATATCTCGTTCTACCCCTGACTTTAATGGACCATGTAACAGACATTCTTGTATGATTACCTTTATTAAAGGCTAAATTAGGGTCCTTATTTTTTGATTAATGAACTTAATTCCCTTCTAAAGACCCAAGTCATGAAGTAATGATAACTGTGCATAACACAAAATATATATATATAAAAAATACGATTTCCTCAGGCATTTTTAGATTCAATAAACTATGAATCTAATTCATTAGGTAAGGCAAAAAAACCTGAACCAAAAGTAGACAAAACCAATCCAAAATCTGAAAAAATGTTGGGTTTTTTTGCATTTTCCCCTTAAAAACAGACAAGAGGTAGCTGCACATCCCTCACATACTAAAGATATTTAAGTCATCATGAGTAATTGCACTCCTACTTTCCATTCTCATTTTTCCCATCATCCTTCTTAAAAGAGAACATGTTCTTGAAGGTTTTCCAAGCTCTTTGGGGTCAGGAGAGAAGCACTGACTCAACACTGCTCACTTTGTATGCAAGGCAGCTCGTAGATGCAGCCGATGAAAAGAGCTTGTTGGGGGAGGAGAGACGCAGAGCCCTGGAGCCATGGCTGAGAGACAGGCTAGACTTTATGGTCTAATCTGTGCGCCAGCAGGGACCAAAGGTATCAAACAAGTGTTGTTTCCCTTGGAAGACTGAGGCATTAGGAGAA